GACAATGATGTACAAATTTGAACCAGTTCACTATGTTAGTCTTGGAGTGTGTGTGTGTGTGTGTGTGTATTTTGTGGGGAGGGTAGTTATCAAATAAAACTGCTTTCCACTTTACCCTCTGTTCTAAGCTATTTTACTGTTTTCTTTTTTTTTTATTTATTTTTTTTTAACTTATTTATTATTATTATACTTTAAGTTGTAGGGTACATGTGCATAACGTGCAGGTTTGTTACATATGTATACTTGTGCCATGTTGCTGTGCTGCACCCATCAACTCGTCATTTACATCAGGTATAACTCCCAATGCAGTCCCTCCCCCCTCCCCCCTCCCCATGATAGGCCCCGGTGTGTGATGTTCCCCTTCCTGAGTCCAGGTGATCTCATTGTTCAGTTCCCACCTATGAGTGAGAACATGCGGTGTTTGGTTTTCTGTTCTTGTGATAGTTTGCTAAGAATGATGGTTTCCAGCTGCATCCATGTCCCTACAAAGGACACAAACTCATCCTTTTTTATGGCTGCATAGTATTCCATGGTGTATATGTGCCACATTTTCTTAATCCAGTCTGTCACTGATGGACATTTGGGTTGATTCCAAGTCTTTGCTATTGTGAATAGTGCTGCAATAAACATACGTGTGCATGTGTCTTTATAGCAGCATAATTTATAATCCTTTGGGTATAGTTCATCATCACTGGCCATCAGAGAAATGCAAATCAAAACCACAATGAGATACCATCTCACACCAGTTAGAATGGCGATCATTAAAAAGTCAGGAAACAACAGGTGCTGGAGAATAGGAACACTTTTACACTGTTGGTGGGATTGTAAACTAGTTCAACCATTATGGAAAACAGTATGGCGATTCCTCAAGGATCTAGAACTAGATCTACCATATTTTACTGTTTTCTAAAAAATCACTGGGGTCGCATTTTATAAGGATAAATTCAAACTGGCAAAATACGAAAACGACAAAACAAAGTAGATGTAAGATCAACATGGGAGGATATCACATTCTTTTAAACAAAAAGCAAAGTGATAATTTCACTTCAATTCTATTGTATTTGTGTTCTTGTTAAATTTTTACTGTGGAGGAGGATAACATTAAATTAGAAACTATACTTTCACAAAAATACAGTATTATCTGACTTTAATAAAAATATAAATTTGTCAATTGTTGATATAGTATTATACTTGATGTGACTATATGTGTTCGATTCACATACTAGATAATATATAAATACTAACATTATGGACCAGAATGTAAAAATGCCTGCATTTCCTAACAAGATACTATAAGGCTTTGGTTTTGAAATTTCTCAATAACAAAAAATAAAACATTGGAATGGTGGTTTCCAGAGGCTTGGGGGAGAAAAAAATAAAGAGATTTTAGTAAAGGGTACAAAGTTTCTGTTAAACAAGATAAATAAGTCCTAGAGGTCTACTATACTACATAGATATAATGTATACATATATAATACGTATATACACACACACTAACTATAGTTAACAATATAATAGTGTGTACTTAAAGTTTTGCTAAGTCGGTAAATCTTATATTAAGTGTTTTTATTGCAAAATGATAATAATAGGAGGATGGGAAGAAACTTTTGGAGGTGATGGATAGGTTTATGGCATAGATTGTGATGATGATGGTTTCGTGGTTGGATACTTATCTCTAAATCATCAAGTTGTATGCATTAATCATGTATAGCATTTTATATGTCAAAAAAAGAGAAGAAAAAAATTAAAAGATGAGGTGAAAGCTGCAAAGCATGGTTGAGAAAGTACAAATAACTATGGGAATTCATTCAAGGAAATTATCATATTTGCTTGATGGATTAAAAACCATATGAACCTTTCATATGGTTTTTATGAACCATATATTAGAAATTTCATGAACCATATATTAGAAATAAGTTCAAATGCTGACAGGCAGATTTGAGAAAGATTTTTTTAGATAAAGTTACTGGCATAAGTAAAAATTCATGTTGGAAAATTTGAAGATATATGGTGGAGAGTTCAAATTAGATATATTAGAGTACTGGAAAATCTGGCATAAGCTTTTAATTGTAATTTAGGATAACTTTATCTCGGGTCTTAAACACCAGGGTAGGAAATTTGTACTATTTTCAGGCAGCATCAACAAGCAGTAAATGTTCACTGAAAGTATATTATGCCATTCTAGTGGCATTATAGAAAAGTGACTCAACAACTCTTTATTGAGCAAGACTGGAGGAAAGAAGAATTAATGAAAGACAGCTCAGTTAAGAGACTATTTCAAGTTCTTTAACCTCTCTGTAATTCACATGCTCCTTCTGCTAAAAATAATAGCCTTATAATGTTATAAGGGTTTAATAATATATGAAAACAAAAGTGAGCATGGAAGAAACAGTAGCTCTTTCTAATATGATAAATTACGTAGATTTAGGAAAGTTGTATAAAACTGGAAAACATAATTTCTTTAATAAATATGGAATCATAGTGTTACCTGAGGGTTTTTAAAGGGTAACATAAAATAACATTTGTTAACAACCTTGTCAGCAATGAAGTTCTACACAAATATAACATGATATAAAAGTGAATGGTATAAAAAAAACAGAGGGAAAATAATAAACAAATATATTCACTACTCAACATATATAATTCACAGAGGGATTAGTAATCTTTCATCACCATAGACTATAGTCCTTAAAAAACCATACGAAGCTTTAGACCCACATTTATTAGTTGCTGCTCAACACTGTGATCAAGGTTTGAAAGAAAACATATCCAAGGAGAGTTATCATCATTTTTCTGAAAACACCGGTGTCCAGGGATACTGGTAAAAATTCCCTGGAACATCATCTTTGCAAGGTGTACTGTGATACCATCAATAGTCTGCCTCCTGCACTGTGAAAGGTGTGTGGCTTCTTTTTGTTTTACATCATTAGTTATTGGTTCATTTAAATCCAAAACCAATGCCTTATTATTTCTACTACATATGCAATATCTAGATAAGCATGGTGATATAATTCACAACGCTATTCCCATTTTTTTACAGAAAATATTTTAAAAATTACTATCCCACAAAAACAGTCTTCCAAATGTAAAGATATAAGACATATTACTTATGTCTTTTTTAAAAGAGCTAATGTTTGTTATGTTCACAGATTTTCCCGTCATTACAGGATAAGTGATGAAAACCATGGTGACCACAAGTAAGTCACTTGCACTACTGATTTGTAGAATTAAACAGACACTGCCAACGCCACCACTGAATCTTCAAGGAATCTTTACAGAAGCCAACAAAAGTATGTCAATACTGAGAACAACGGAATGTAAAGTATGAATCGCTTTGGGGTATGTGGCTAGAAAATTTTTCCCCCAGTCAAAAAAAGAAAATAAAACAAAACAAAACAAAAAAATACTGCAGAAATATTTTAGAGCTAGCAATTAACCTGCTGCTAAAGCTGGCATTGAATCTCCCAACATATCCCTTTCCCTCAGACCTCTAACGAAATCCGTCCATGAGGAATGCTCATTTCCTGCTGGGTAAGACACTGTGCAAATGTAGGATTTCACAGTTCACCAGAAGGATTATATCACTTTCCTTTTTGGAAGAAGTCCAGACTTCATTACAAAGGTGCATCACATTGTTATACTGCAGAAAGCAACATATGGCATTCTATCTCTCAGCAGCTAAAAATGGACTTTCAGCTAAAAACTTAGTTGTGAAATAAACAGTACATGTTCAGTATGTGCAAAGTTAGGAGTATAATCTATGAATTATGAACAAATATACCAATATATGTGTGTTTTTAAACATGCCATTGTAGAAATACAATGCACAATTTATAATTGATAGATGCTATCATTTTCTTTAATTGGTAAAGGATATTAGAGTTAAAATGGTTTATACGTGATTGGTAACACTGCCAAAACTCAGGAGATAAGTAATCAGACATTTGTTTTTAAAAGGTTTGTTGCAACCATAAGCTGAGTTCCATTAAAGAAGATTAAATAAAATCAGACTGTCCACACAAACTTGCACTAATGGGAAAAATGAATGGATCATTAGCTAAAACAGTTATTCATATAACATTGTTAACATAAACTGTATTAGCTTTTCATGACAGTTAAATATTATTAAAAGCTAGTCAGTTACAGATAGCAACCTATACATTCACAAGACTGATGATTTCAATCTAAAGGGAATGGTTCTGTTTATGACTTTCGTTCAGGTCTCTGCTGCTGGAAATACTGAGTCTATTATTTCACAGTGTACCTAGAGCCACAGTGTGATTTGGTGGCCAAATAACTGAAAATTTTGCTCTGTACCAGATGGAGATGAAATACGCACAGTAGGAGCATAAAATAGACAGCAGTAGTTTACCATGAAACTACCAAATTTCTACTTTTCTCTTTAAAGATATGTATCATTGTAAAGTTGGAATTGTGTGGCATTTCAAAATACTGAGAAAAGAAATGCATGCTTATGTCCCATGTTCTCATGCTGGAAAAATTTAGCAATATAGTTTCTAAAATCAGGTGTGATTTCCACTTAAAGGCTGTAGTGAATGGTACTAACTTCCCAAGGAATTAAAAATGTTACTAATGTCATGTATTGGTACCTTCACTTCATTTCATGTGATTTCCTGTAGTATAGTGTAATTAATGGCTTGGGTATGAATGCTGATACTTCTTCACATTTCTCCCTCATTTATTACACTTCAATATGTAAGCATTTGTTTTCCATAGATATAGCTGATGGCATCATCTCTAAATGTGAATAGAAATGTTTAGTAATCTGTATGTAATTTGCTTTCCTTGAACTTTGCATCTCATGACCTCTCACACCATGTATATTGCTAAACTTACCACCCAACAGATCTCTCAATAAATGATCACAAATAAATGATGATGTCATTAAATATAGGTACTACATTCTTCACTGTGTGGGGAATGCCTTAATAACCGAATTATTCACATCCAATAAGGTTAGTAGCATTTTGCTTTTATACCCCTTTGGTAAGTTCTTCACTTGCCATATACAGACACATCTGCTAAGCACTTCTTTTAAATCTGAGCGCTCTTCTCTCACACTCCTTTCTAGAAGTTCCATGTTACTGGAAAGAAAACAAATATACAGAAAAATTAGAACAGCATTCCATCATGTCTCCTCACACTAGACGCACAATTACTCATAAATATGCACAAGTACACACACACACAAATTCTATATGTATACCTCAAATACTTGCCCAAGTAGTCTATGCATCTAATTTTGAGTTCCAATTGCTTTATTCTTTCCTTCAGCATATGAAAAAACTTGAGATAACATAGCATAATCACATAGATGGTAAAACCCAGCTAGAAACCTATATTTCTTCACGATGACATTTTAATGAACCAGAAAAAAGTTAAAGCAAAGAAAATTTGCTCTTGCCCATAGTCAGACTAATGACTTTTGCATATATTGTTTTCAAATCATACAAGGAAGGGTTTGCTCTCATTCAGGATAGCACAACACCACACAAGCACACAGACTGCCAGACACACACACACACACACACACACACACACACAGAGACAGAGTTTATTAGCTTAATAATGGACTTCAGTTTAATTTACAGCTATGCAATTGGCCAAAGATTTAGTACTTCTAGTGGCTTTTTTTCACCTTTTGTTATGGTGCCGTTTGATTGTATTTATGAATGTGACCTCATATCCTATACCAGCAGAAGAAAGTAAGATAAATTGGACTCTAAAACACACACATAGTAGCAGACAGTACTGCTTAAAGATTAATAAGTGATCTCACTATAGCACTTCAACTGCCTATAGCCTAAAACTATCTTTCCTCTGGTACTTTCCAGGCAGTCCCTGAAGGACCAATAAACCAAGAGCACTAGACAGATCTGAACTTACCTATCACAGCTTTGATTGTGCTCTTGTGCACTATGTGTTTCTTCTTAAAAGCATCTAATTCACTGCCTGTTCACAGCATTCATTATTTGAAGCAAAGGACACTAGGAGAAGTAAACAAAACTTTAAAAAGACATATTGTAAAGGGAATTCATTCCATTTTCCTTTCTTATGTATCAAAACCCAAAACCTTGTATTGCTCTAGAGATGTGATTTTCACACCACTTAATATTTTTTTTGCCAGATATAAAAACTGCACATTTCTAACTGCATTTCACCTCCTAGAATCTGTGCATTGCACCAAGATGTTCAGACATCTCATCACAAGGCTTCCAAGACATCAGTACCTGGGGGACCCCACTTTGGGACCTGAGGACACATATTCTGTTCACAGTGGGAATTCCAGAAGGGAAGAAGCCAATGTAAAGAATTTCGAACTCTGCCCATAGTCTACCTGTTTGCCCCCTCCACGCTATGGATTTCATAATTAGAAACACTCCCACAATGTTTGACCCTCCTTTCCAACATCTGATCTCCAGATTTCTTCTTGAATAGCATCTGCAAAACTTCCTGTGACAGAAAATGGCTACAGAATCTATCCTGCTATTACTTAACATTAGCATGAGTAATTCATATTATGCAGTTGTAGTATTTTACAATTGTTTGACTAGCTAAAATTTATAAATGTACCCACGTGAACACACTTCCATTTGCAAAACTAAATATCAGATGCATAACACTAAACTCTGCAAACATGAGAAACTGTCTTTCAGCACTTGTTTCATTTTTTATGCAAAGATATCGAAAAACACAGTCAGAACTCATTATCTTTAGCCTGAAGAAAAGGCTTGTGTAAAGACCAGATGAAAGGAGACAGCTAAAAATTAAAGTCAAACCAGATAATTCAAGGGAAACAATTTCTTTTGGTGGCTAAATGTCCTAATTTGTCTCTATTGAGGCATTAACCATGAAGTTTTCACATCATTCCTTTTGCATGAGTTTATGCCAGCTATATGAGTACAGAGAGGAGAATGGCAATGTCTACTTGTAAACCTCAAACTGAATTTCCAATTAGTATAGTTATTTCTAATGAATTATTTACATTTTTTCAACAATAAAGGCAGTGATTTGTTATTTAATATTCTTTATATAATGATATTTGGCTGTTGAGAGTATCTTATCTTTTTGTTCTACTTCATGCAATGCTATTTTGAGATCTCCAACACACTTTAGACCAAACAGGGTTTTCTGACAAATGATTTTCACTCTAGTATTTGTTTTTTCTTTTCTTTTCTTTTCTTTTCCTTTTTTGAGATGGGGTCTCGCTGTGTCGCCCAGGATGGAGTGCAATGGCGTGACCTCGGTTCACTGCATGCAACCTCCGCCTCCTGGGTTCAAGTGATTCTCCTGCCTCAGCCCCCCGAGTAGTTGGGATTATAGGCACGCATCACCACGTCTGACTAATTTTTGTATTTTTAGTTAGAGATGGGGTTTCACCATGTTGGCCAGGCTGGTCTTGAACTCCTGACCTTGCAATCCACTCATCTCAGCCTCCCAAAGTGCTAGGATTACAGGCATGAGCAACTATGCCCAACCTTATTTTAGTATTTCTAAGACTAGAGAACACAAGAGGCAGTATAGCTTAAATAGGTACCTAATAAACAACTATTGTTATAGAGAATATAATTCACCTTTAGAAATGATGCCTATTAGTAGCAATTACTAGTGACGCACAGTCAAGTTGTGTGAAATGATTGTGTTATCCATCAATCAAAACCAGCTATGTTATGACAAAAATACTCTAATAAACATATTGATGCAGAAATTATGACTTTTGCCTTAACCAATATCTTTAAAGTTACTTTTGTCACTTTCAAATAACTTTTTTTTTTTTTTTTTTTTTTTTTTTTTTTTGAGATGGAGTCTCGCTCTGTCACCCAGGCTGGAGTGCAGTGGCACAATCTCGGCTCACTGCAACCTCCGCCTCCTGGGTTCAAGTAATTATCTTGCCTCAGCCTCCCGAGCAGCTGGGACTACAGGCATGCACTGCCAAGCTGATCTAATTTTTGTATTTTTAGTAGAGACAGGGTTCCACCATGTTGACCAGGATGGTCTTTATCTCCTGACTTCGTGATCTGCCCGCCTTGGCCTCCCAAAGTGCTGGGATTACAGGCGTGAGCCACCGTTTATGTCACTCAATTTTTATTTTATTTTTATGACCTTATAGTTGGGATAAAAATGAACTGAGAAAAAATAATTTATAATTTGATAGAACTAGAATGAAACTTTGGAATTAGCACTTTAATCCTTATGAAAGCATTGAGGTGTCTGAAGTACAACATGTATTCAGTGCTATCTAATGAAGATATATATCCTGTGGCAAGCAGCAGGAATTCTATTATTACCACTTGTATAAAAAGGAAAGACATCTCCTAGCTGATAACTCCCTGGTGAGTCTTTCAAAGATGACCAAGACCATTTCCTGACATGGCTTATCCTGGGGAATTGCAACATCTTTGTAGCTTACATTGTGAGACATATCATGCTCATTTTGGCAGCACGTATATGAAAAAAAAAAAAAGTGATACACATCAGCTGCCTGCCAAGATTCATTAAATGAGTGGTCCACTATCCATTTTTTCTAATACATATGGAATTGAATGACACAGTCCAGTTTTTTCCCGTAAGTATGTCAGAGGTTGAAAGCTCTACAAATACCAAAGGAATAATGACAACTTCACCAAAGGCATATTTATTGAGGACATTGGTCATTAAAATACTGTGAGTTATATTATATTCTTCACCAAAGGCATATTTATTGAAGACATTGGTCATTAAAATACTCTGAGCTATAATATATTCTTTCAGAACTTATGTCAATGAAAAACCTTTGGTTACACTGATAATCTTTTTGTAAGCAACCATATTACTTGTTTTCACTTTGATTACTAGGAAATGCAGAATCCAAATTAAAGATCGACCTTAAAAACCACCATGACTCTACATTTTCTGTTTATGGCCTTCCCTTTGTTGGACTGATTTTATAATATTTTTTCTTATGATTCTATTTCTATTTCATCATTATTTAATCACATATATTATTTTCACAAGCTGATTTTAATACTTAACTTGGAATATTAAATCATCTCTACTTAATTTGGGGAACAGATTATTTAAAAATGCATAACAGCAGACTAAAATATCTGAAAGACTGTCAAGTAGAAGGAGAAGCTAATGTATACTGTGCTGTGTAACAGGAGCAAATAGGATTTTAAAGGAGCATGTGCTAGATAGTGAGCAAGAATTTTCTAATAATTCTTCAGGTCCCAAATGTAATGGGTTTCCCTGAAAAGCTGTGGAATCTTCAACACTGCACAAATTTAATCAGAGGCTAAATAACTATCCATCTGGCATGTTGACAAAAGTTTCTGGATTGGAAGAAAGGTTAAACTAGAAGCCCTCAAAAATCTCTTCCATTCTATGATTCTATAATTAAATACGCTATACTTAATGAGCCATTTGTTATCTTCATAGGGTGAGTAACTCATGGCACAAGTCTCCCTGCTGTCTCTCTGCCAGGTCTAGAAATTAAATTAAATTAAATTAAGTCCATCACCGTATAAAACTAGGAATAAAGAAAAGTTATGCCATAATGACTTGAAGAGTCTTGAAGTTTGAATATTGACTTAAAAATTTCAGTTTTGTTGCCAGCAAGAATTCATAGCCTGTTCATATCACAAAACTAATACTCTAAATATGAGGGATCAAAACAGGAGAAACATTGTGATGCCATTCAAATTAAAGTATGACAAGAGTTTAATAAAATGTATTTTAATGTTCTAAATATTAAAAAGTAGACAATTCGTCATATTACAGATATATTTTTAAACTACTTCCTATAATGAGAAACATGGTAAAGACTCCTGTCACTGGAAAGGTACACTTATTTGTTTGGGGAGGCATTGAAAATCCACCGTGAGCCAGTAAACTAAATTGAAATGGCATATTTAATACCTGCACACATCTATCATTATATTTATGCAATGTAAGAAAGATAAATGAATCATAAATTTGCTAAATTATTCACTGAGGTGAATCAGCTTAAGTGAATGAACTGACATATCATATATAAATATTTTAAGTGGAGAAACAACTTTATAGGTAAATAAAACAAATTTTTGTTTCCTTTCACATTTGGTAGTCTCAGAGAGGTATACTTATTGTTTTCTTATTTTTGTTAGAAATAAATTGAAAAAGGCTTGAAAAAGTAAATATTACTTAAAGGTACATAACCAAAAGTTAAACAACCAGAGCAAAATATGCAATTTCCAAGTATTCAAGCTATTAAAAATTCCAAGATTACACAATTACAAAATTTTAAGCCCTAATGCCAACTGGATTTTGACTAAACAAAGAATGAATCAAGAATGATTGGGAAAAACTGAAAACAAATCAAAACTAAAGATCAAATTGAAGGATGCCAATTGAAACATGTGACTGTTGTAATTAAGGAAAGGAATGGCAGACACCGTATTTTTTAAATTTTGCAATAGATGGTATTTGTTTCTTGGGGAAGTAGTTATGCTCCAACCCTATAGAAGTCTAGAAGAGTCTGGTAGCTATCAATGTCTTTAACTGGTATGAACTCCAGCATCCCTGATTTTTTTAAAGTCAAGTCTCTCCTGCCTTAAGCCTACCCCAAAAAGACAGGCTCTGCAGCCCTGCCTAGGAAATGGCTATGATACCTGAACTCATTGCAAACACTGTTCAATAAATACTCACAAATTATAGCTTTCTTCCCCAAATTTGGCATCTAAATACAAGAGCAACAAGATCTTATGAAAACATCTTAAGGACTGGGACCTTGGATCTACAATTTAAAATATATATACTGGAACCATATAGTAACAGCATTTGTAAGATAGCAACATAATAGAGGTTTATAAGCAGATAACATAAAATTCAGTTTCCATTAGAGGTTTATTTTCATTACAAAATATTTTAGATAAAAATGTAAAGAATAAAAAGTAGCAGACATTCTCATACCTACTAACCAGATTTGGCAAATGTTAATATCTTGCCTTGTTTGCTTCTGGTTTATATT